TTACCGGTGGAGTGAAGGCGGTACCCGCCAACGGGTCCCGGGTACCGCCCAACGGGTACCGCAAGGCCATCTTTAGTTGTTTTTAACTTGGATATTTTTTGTAGATTGAAAAATCCTGGAGTTTTATGATCAATAAAATAAACTTGTGTCAAATGCTCAAAAACTAGTGAGTGGGGAAGGTGATGAAGAGGAGGCACCATTTAACTAGCTGGCAAGGATGCAGGACACTGAGATTTGTGAGGGGATAAGGAGACTGAGGGATCTTATCTGTTCAACGGATCTCTTGAGGCGGTCTGACCACTTGGCTTGTGGGTGTCAGACCAGCTGGGCCTGGCTAGTTGGCTGGAGACCATGGAAGATGGTGACATGGCTTTGCCCCAGTCACCTATCATGACATCTCTAATCACCATCACCACACCTCCATACCTACTTAGCAATAATTTGAATCCATCACAAACTGCATCTAGAAAAAGAATTTGCTACTCTGATTGAAACTGGCTGCTACTTTGAACATGAACAATGAGACAATTGTTGGTGGTTAGATATCAATGATATTTGATGATTGTGGAGTGTGGTGGATAGGGTTGACGGCGCCACATTGAAAATGTGCGCGCCAGTGGGCGCCTACAAACCTACCACCAAGTGCGCGCCTTTGAAGGCGCAGTAGCGGCGAGCTAGGCGAGGTTCTTTTTTCAATGAAAGAATATATACGTTGTATTCCGTTGTATTTGGATTGTTGTTAGGCTATTTACAAGTGAATGAAGATTCCTTGATATGAGAGAAAAGCTGGGCAGGCTTCGCTTGGTTGAACACTCTTTGGCAGTAGGTACATTTAGCTTGGCACCTTCGAGATTGGTCCGTCCGTATGTTTGACATTAAGAATCCAGTCCATAGCAGACCATGATATTTTGTTGGCTTAGACCATCCTTGCAGCTCTGAATTGCTTGTATTTCTTGTGGTGGCATGTCAAAAATATAGAAAGATGATGTACATAGTACATATTATTATTGTATAAAAAGTTGGAGGTTTAAGAGAACTACATTTGGATTGGCAGTACCAATCTCAATACAACCTGCAAGCCTCAAGACGTCTTCCGCACTCACATGTGTGAAAAAAAGCTAGAAACTCATAGCAAAGCGGTGACATACTCCCGGACTAGCTTACGGAGCTTTCAGGGTTGCCCTTTCAAACTGGAAAAGTCACTCGGCCTCCAGCCCTCCCCCTCTAAAAATTAGGGTTAGAAGTGCGCGCACACCCCCCTTTTTTGGAAAAATGTGCGCGCCGTGGGCGAGGGTGCGAGGCGCCCGCACATCGGCGCGCACCTAGGGGTGGCGCCGTCAACCCTAGTGGTGGAGGACGAAAAGTGCCAGTCCATAATTGGAGCTGACCTATGACTTCTGTGAAATGTGGTTGTGGGCTGGGGAACACATGTCAACTGCCCCCCAGACCACTAGGGCTTTCCAAAAAACTGGCATGCAGCCTCAACATGCCAAAAAAGGTGTGTTTGTGAACACCATTAAATTAATTAGGATTTCAGACCAACATGAGGAAGTCGTCCAGTGTCATCATTTAGGGCAAATTCTTGTGAATCTGTTTCAGGGTTGAGTTTGCATTGATTACTGCTGACCTGAATTGTGTGAGCTCCAGAGTCACATGTTCAGACACTTCTTGCTGTAGATTTTTATCCATCTTTTTTTCAATCAAAAGCAGTGCATGAAGTTTGTGTCAGCGGATTCCTTGATTCACACCTGCCGCTGCACTATCGTTAATCGATGTAGTGATACTGGCGATTATGTAGACTCGATGGCCATCGTCGATGGCCGGTCGACTCGATCAGACTCGATCTGAATGGATCGGATTCGGAAGTCTTTAAAGTCGCCGTGATGATATCCGATAGTCACAAGTCACTATGTATCAAGGTTGGTAATTACTAAGCTCAGATATCGATAAGGTTAAAAGTCAAAAAAGCCTTGTTTGTAAAACATATTCAGCTGGACGAAGGCAAATTTTCTCCCCCAGGAACTCAGACAATTGTAGTACAGTAAAGTGTTCAACAAGTCTCCTGCGCAAGAAATGTTTCGTAGTAGCGATGAGTTGAGTCATGCTGCAGATAGTAGAAGCAAACACTGCTAGGATGCTTCGATGGCGGAGTCAAGAAGTTGGAATCTGGTCCTTGCTCGGCGATATGGCGGCTCACCTCGAGAGTCAGACCAACCAGTTGTTCCCTCTTTCGGATTTACCCTCCACCTCCACGCGTCTTGATAACGGTGGACTTTGTCAATCGCCAGCAATCGCCTGCTTGCTTTTTTTTTCCTCTTTCGGATTTTCCCTAATTTCCCGCGTCTTGTGGGATAGAATTAGCAGGGCGGTCAACAAATACAGACATCGCCATATATTTACATTATTATAGAATCTTGAACAACACAACCAGCTCTCCCTCATCCTATCAATTGCTTCGATCCGGTCACATCCTTCTTGACTCTTTGCTTTCCCTTCATCCTCCCCCCTTCAGCACATCCTCCCCATCTCCCCCATATGGCTGTCTCCAATGGAATCAATAATGTGGAGGTCGATTCAGTTCAGATCAATGGGATCGAAGAGCGCTACAGCAACTTCTTTGAAAGGATGAAGCAGAACAATCCAGACTGGTCGGAGCCACAAGAGAGAGTACGTTAACTTCGATCTCCCATTCCTCCACTCTGGCCATCCTCCTTCTCCCCATATATAAAAGAGCTCATCGAAATCTACAACACAAGCTGAAATCCTGCGATGTTGATCGGTAAAGATCTTGTTAGAGCCTTTCACTTATCTAACCTCGACTCCGGGCAAGGAGATTCGCTCGATGATGATTGATGCCTTCAACCATTGGCTGTCCGTACCCACTGAGCAACTCAACATTGTCAAGCGGATTGTTGGCCTGCTTCATACAGCCAGTCTTCTGTCAGTCTTCATTCTCATCCGTCCATGTGTGTATGTAATATCTCTACATGCTGACCATCGACTTCTTTTGTCCCTATTCATACAGAATGGATGATGTAGAGGATGGATCCGAATTGCGTCGCGGGATCCCAGGTGCGTATTGCCTCCCGGCCCCTCCCTTGCTGAACACTTTTTGAATGATGTGCACGGCCTCTCAACAGTGGCCCATAAGATTTACGGCATCCCTCAGACTATCAATTCGGCCAAGTTGAGTGAACCCTCTCCAATTCCTCATTCTGTCCAGCCAACCCCAGAAATGATGGAAATCCCGCACGAGAGCTGCGACGAGATGAATATTGGCACTAACATTTGGTTGTGATACGAATCCAGTTATGTATACTTTTTGGCTTATCAAGAGCTATCGATGTTGCATCCCTCTCAAGACAGCTCTGCCTCGAACCTATGGAAGCTCATCAATGGTAAGTCCCGTTGTCGACCCTGAAAAACCTCTTCTGTCAAGACCGCTGACCGGATGATTCTTCGCAGAGGAGCTACTGAGACTGCATCGCGGGCAAGGCATGGATCTGTATTGGCGAGACTCATTAACCTGTCCTACCGAGGAAGAATATATCCAAATGGTCAAAAACAGTTAAGCCTTTCTCTCTCTCTATCTCTCTCCGTCCATCGATCAATCATGTTCTGCTTTCTTCATATTCTCAATGCTGATTCTATCTTTTATATACCTCGTTTTCAGAAACCGGTGGGCTGTTCAGGATCGCAATCAAGCTCATGATGGCCATGTCACCCCTTCAACAAATCCCGTGAGTCGCCCTGGTCACTCGTACTGCCCTACCAACTACTCATCAACCATTTCTAAGGCGATTGAAGGGACTATCTAACTTTGTTCTCTTCTTCTTCGTTTCTACAGAGATTACGTCCCTCTGGTCGATTTGATCGGGATCATCTTCCAAATCAGAGACGATCTGTTGAACCTTTCATCCGACGTCAGTATCTCCTCCCATCTTTGACATCTAATGTGTACTGATACTCTTAAAATAAAATAATAATAATAAAAACCCGATCCAATGAATTTTAGTATACCGTCAACAAAGGCTTTTGTGAAGACTTGACCGAGGGCAAGTTCAGTTTTCCGATCGTTCATGCTATCAGAGCGGACCCATCGAACCATCAACTTCTCAGTTGAGTGACCTCCTGATCATTCCATCTCGCCTATACAATTACTAATAATATCTGAATGAACAATCGACGACCAATTTACGGCAGATGTGCTACGACAGCGCCCGACGGACGACGGGATCAAGTCCTATGCGGTGAGCTACATGAAGGAGAAGACCAAGTCGTTCGCGTATACCCGGTTGGTCTTGGGCATCCTCGAGGCGCAGGCCGATAAGGAGGTCGCCCGCTTAGGTGACAACCCCGCCTTGAGATCGATCTTCAGCATGATGCACGTCGCTCCCTCGCCCCCTCAGTCGACTGCCCCTTCATCAGCCTGATCGGGGCTGCTTCGGTAATCTCCTTTCAAATGGGACTCGATCGAATCGATCCTCCCTTCTTCTTCATTCTCCTACTTTTACTTCAATGTATCTTCCATAGAGTTTCCAATCGATCTGGAACCACCTCTTTACCTTTTGTCACTATTGGTTGTTTGGCTTTCATCTTATTCATCTAAACCTTTGTTGTGTAGCTTCACTAAAAACAAAAGCATAAAAAAACATAGAAAAAAGAAAATTCCTGCCCTGCTTTTTTTGTTATACCAAGTTGTATTTTTCTTTTTTTGCTTTCTAAATTATTGTTTTTGATCTCAGACATTGGGCTAGAGTATTGAGGGAGAGAGGATTGCTGAGACGCTGTTACCGAGCCTGGCTTGAGATTGCTAACGTGAACACCAGTCAGGGAACCCGATCCGAGGATTCAGTGTCTCGAGAGATCAGATGTTTTCGTCGTCATTCATAGTCAACAGCTGAAGAATGCATCGAGCAACAAAGGCTCATAAGCTAGTTAGATTACATTGTACATTTCTCTAGGAATTGTGGGGCTCATTTGAATGAAAAGAGCCGTTTCGCATATCAGAATATCAACATGCTCAATCTCTCGAAAATGAGACGCCAACCGGTTTATATTTCAATAATCCATACATATGTCGTCTTGCAGTACAAAGGACAAAGGCTTCTTGTGCTCATTAAAAAAAGGACTTCATCGAGCCGTGAAGAATCAGCTTATTCTCCTTAGCTCTTGTTGCATTCTTTAATTTGTAAGTTATTCTAGAGATAAATAAAAAAAATGAAACAGAGCCAGGGAACGAAGCACTCAACTAGAAAATGACAAATAATATTGGAGGGTCTTAAATGACAGGATCTTTTTTAGAGAGGGGGTTCGACTATGCAGAATCGTCTTCTTGGGCCGATCCGACGGGGATTCGGACGAGCATATCCACTGGATTCTGCGCGGCGTTATTGATGGCATTAGCCCGAGTAGCTAAGGGGAAGACCAAGAATAAGATGATAATGGTCAGTGTTCGAAAAAAACAAGTTCCTCTGAATGAGGAGGGATGACACAGGAGCTGTAAAGAGCACACGCTAGTTCCAGCTTACCGATTGCTAGATGGGCTGCTCGGAAGACGTTTTGCCAGCGTTGGATGACGGATTCGGTGACTGATTCGATTCGACCGATCAACAAGAGAAAAAAAGAGAATATATCAGCATATCGACAATTTCAAGAAGAATGAGATGTTTGTTGAATCGATCGACTTGCTCAATGCGCCATCAGCCCCCTGCGCGAACTGGTTACTGAGTTGTTCTAGTTGGACGGACATCCCATGAGAGAGTTGGTTGAGTTGGACGAGCGCCTCGAGTTCGTGTTGCTTCTCGATCAGTCTGAGTGCGGTGGGTGATAATCTGTTGTTGGACATCTTGTTTTTGTTTTGGTTGGTTCTTGGTCACTGGTTTGCTGTGTATGACAGTCGCGACTCGCTGTTTGTGAGTGACGTCATCGGCAGAAAACAACAAAGTTCTTCGGTTTCCGGTCGAGATGATACCCGGTCCTCCGCCTCCCTCCCCCGGCACCGAGGGTATAAAACACACCCTAGTCTTGACAGATTGACTCTTTCCACCAACTCCGACATCCCGAACTGCATATCAACTGATGCTTCACAATAAAAAGCTCATTGGAACCTCACAGTAGGCTCAGCTCTTTAGGAGATCGGACATGGTGAAAGATTCGAACAGGATCAACAAGCTACAGATCAAGAAAGAGAAGACGAAGATCATTCAGAGCAAATGTCAATCGAAATCGACTGGCTCTCACTCACACCATCGATAGCCGAGAAGCTGACAGAACGGCTCAACGGACTTCTAGCGAATCTGAGCACGCCGGACTTCCTAGGCCCGCTCAGAATCCAATCGATCGACTTTGGAGATATTGCGCCCGAGGTCGAGATCGTTGACATCCGGGACGTCAGCCGAGGCTTCCGGATTGCCGATGGGGAGAGTCATCCATCGAGCTCGCCGGAGTGTTCCTCTGCGCCGACGATCAAGCCGGACGAGGACGGCCACTCCCAACCATCGTTGCAGATCCATCTCCGACTGACTTATGACGGCAACCTCCGTCTCCGATTCTCCACCGCCCTTGTTCTCAACCATCCCGCGGCCGAGTTCATGAGTCTACCGCTCAGGGCAACCGTCGTCGGGGTCGGCTTCGATGCCGAGATCATCCTGGCCATCGAGGGTGACCGCTCCAAGTTCCATCTCAGCCTCCTCGAACCGCCTCACTCTGAACTCCCGCTCTACGAGGATAGCGTCGAGAATGGCGGCAAACGTAATAGCTCGATCGGCGCGCGTATCCTCCCTCATCTCTTCGTCGAGACTGAGGTCGGTAATGCCGATCGTCACGTGCTCAGAAACGTCGGTAAGGTCGAAAGGTTCTTGACTGAAACTATTCGATCCTTGATCTGCGAAGAATTCCTCTATCCTGTAAGTGTCCTCTTTTTTCACTCTCAGTTTTTCTTTTACATATCAATATGGTGCTGAATTGGCTTTTTGTTTTCAGACATTTCAAACGTTCGAATGGGATTAAATGAGTACATAAATTTATCTACAGAATTCCCTCCCCTGCTCTATCAAATAGACATTGACCGTATCAGGAAAAAAAAAAGACTAGGATGATTATTAAGGAAGCCTAAAAAGTATTGACATGTATAATGAGGAAGAAACTCGTCCCCTAACACAGACTCTTTGTGTGAATTGGACTTCATGAGAGAGATACGAAAAAAAAGAGAAAATAGTTTATGTAGTTTGAATGAGAACATCAAGGTATTTGATATCATTGGTTGGGTCTGGCTTGCAAGTTCGAAGTAGGGGTTTTGAGCAGTTGGAGTTGTCGTTGTGTTGAGTCAGATGGATGGATGGTTCCAGTGTTTCCACTGTTTGGTCTGGCCACGATCAACGGCAAGCCAGCTCAGAACCGCCCTTGAAGTTTGAAACATCGGTCTCTCTGAGACAGTTGTTTGCATGAACAGTTGAGAAGTGAAGATGTTCTTGTTCGAGACAAGTACATAACTAAATATCGAGCCATGCCACCACCACCTCGAGATTCGCAAGAAGATCCACAAGGAGCTAGGATACCGGTCTCTTTCTTGGTAGAACGACTCTCAGAAAACCGAGCAGAACTAACGGACGAGTTGAGCGCATTGGAGGCCATCCTAGGCGAGGAGTCATTCAGCTGCCAGTTCTTGCAAGACGAACATCACCGACTGCACTCGATCTCTCTCCTCATCCAACTGGATCTCGATAACCATCTCGACACTACTTACGAGGACGAGGACGCTGGAGAGGATGATACTAGCTTCGAACTGCTCCTCGAGATCCCAGACGACTATCCATCACAAAACGCAGCTCCTCGGCTCACTTTACTGGCTAAATATCTGGGCCCATTCAGCGTCACTGAAGCCTTATTGGAGTCGATCCGGAAGGCGTTCGAAGGCAAGTCTGCCGACCAGGCTATCCTCTACGACGGAATCGAGAATGCGAGAGAGATCCTCTCCGAGTTCTATCGGACCGGTCATCAGAACCGACGGGTCGAAGAAACCGCCTCAGAGGAGGAAGTAGTTCCTGGTGGTCAGGTGTTGTTGGCAGGACCGCAGCCAGCCGAACCGGATGAAAAGGATCGAAGATCGGCAGTGGTCGAGGAAGCTTCAGGAGACGGAAAGCAAGAGTTTGCGCCTGTGGTCCATAGCAGCCAGCCCATCGTCGATCGAAAGAGCGTCTTCATCGGCCATGCCGTCGCCCTAGATAACCCAAAGGACGTCAGTACATAGCCCTCTTATATATCCATCGCTATTCCTTCCTCTCTCTCTCTCTCAACTATCCCACTTCCCTTTTTTCTAAGTCTCCCTCCTCATCTGGTCCTGATTTCAGAAATTCAAGATCCTGCTTTTGTCGGCTCGTCTTTTATCTCCCCCCCTCTCATCTTATGTAGGTCCCAAGGATCCTGCAATACCTCCTCAAGGATAAGAAAATCGCCAAGGCTAGGTCTGTCTTCTCAGCTTTCAAAATGAAAAAAACGAAAAAGAAAAGAAAAAATACTTACATTGTGAACATGTTTTTTTAGTCATAATATGATCGCTTGGAGATGTCTAACCAATGGCTCTCTTCATCAAGGTTCATCAAGTCCTTCAAATTCTTCTTCTCATTCTTCTTTTCTTCTTCCCTTTTCTTTTTCTTTTCCAACTCAAAAAAAAAAAAAAAAAAGAAAATCAACACGCTTTTTTCTGATCACTTTGGCTCGCGAGTTGTGTTGTAGATAATGATGATGATGGCGAGTCGGCAGCCGGATCACGGATGCAACATCTCTTGAACATCTTGGTTTGTTTCTCTTTCATTTACCAACAAAAGTCTCTTTTTGTTTTAAACAAACGGAGATTTCGCTGTTTTGTTTATTGAAAACCTGGGGTTGGCGTTTGTTTTGGTTTAGGATGTGAAGAACGTGTTTGTCTGTGTTAGTCGATGGTTTGGAGGCGTTCATTTAGGATCAGACCGATTCAAGGTAAGCCTTTCTTTCTTTCTTTCTCCTCTTTTATTTTTCATCGATGTCGTTGTTTCATATAACAAGTTGATGAACAACGGAATCATATGTTGCAATATAGCACATCAATCAAGCCACAAGAGATGCCCTCCTCGAAGGCCGATTCATCCCTACCTCGTCCTCTAAATCCTCGAGCCCTTCCAAGGCCAGTAGTATACCTGGTCAACATGCCCTCTCTTCCGGACCCAAGAAGAAACGGTGAAGGTTTAATTCCTTCTTCTTGATACTATTCAATCAAGATCTGCTTTTCGTTTCAATATGATTGGTCGAATGAGATTTATTACTACCCTCTTGAACTTCGTGTCGATCGGCTTGTTTTGACTGGCTTACAGTTCGATACGGATTTTTTTTAGCAGTTGCACAACAGATATTCAAGCTCATGTACATCTCACTGGGGTTTTTTTCTTGCAGATCTGCTTGAATCTGAACCTATCTGTTCTTTTCCCGTAAGATATTCTTCTTGCTTAAATCTTACGAACTCTTTAATTATGCAAAAATGTAGACGAGATTCCTGGAAAATTAGTGATGCTATTGTAGTAGTTTCCTTATTGCAAGTAGCAATTAAAAGAGATAAATATACAGGAGCTCCTGTTTTTCTTTTTTTTCTTTTTTTTTTTGGCCAAGTATCGTGTGAAGGACACTACGTTCGTGAGCTTGGCAAGCTTCTCTCTCTCACTCTCTCTCCATTTTTAATCAACTCACAACAAGGCTGTCAACATGCTACCGCCTGGCTCAAGGCTCCCGACCCTAGTGTCTGTCTCCCGGTTTCTCAAGCTCTTTCTTCTTAGACCATCTCCACCGCGGCTGCTAAACCGCGCTGCCAAACCAATTATAGCACGAACTTATCACAAGTCTCCAGCTGCGGCGGGCGCATCTGGCAGCGTAGCGCTGGCCAGGCGGTTCCCGAAGGGAACTCCCCGCAGGGGAGACTTGGGCCAGAGGTCGACAAACTCAGGTGCTGAGTTTGGATTGTTTTGGTGGGAGCGTCACAAGATTTGAAATCCTGACGCTCCCTCAAAACTTTCTTGATGTTTGGTCTCAAATTTTTAAAGACCTGCCTGATCTTATTGATCAGGCCAAAACATAGAAGTTGCACCTCGCAACTGTAATTAATAATAAATTTCTAAAGCATCAGTCTGCGAATCCTCCTGGTAGGGTTGACGGCGCCACCCCTAGGTGCGCGCCGATGTGCGGGCGCCTCGCACCCTCGCCCACGGCGCGCACATTTTTCCAAAAAAGGGGGGTGTGCGCGCACTTCTAACCCTAATTTTTAGAGGGGGAGGGCTGGAGGCCGAGTGACTTTTCCAGTTTGAAAGGGCAACCCTGAAAGCTCCGTAAGCTAGTCCGGGAGTATGTCACCGCTTTGCTATGAGTTTCTAGCTTTTTTTTCACACATGTGAGTGCGGAAGACGTCTTGAGGCTTGCAGGTTGTATTGAGATTGGTACTGCCAATTCCAAATGTACAGTGCCCCTCACCTCTTCTCGACTACCCCGGACCTGCAAAACAAAAGTTGAACTTTGGGTGGTATGTTTGATTTTGCACTATATGCTAGAAGTATGTAGTGGGTGTTTTTGAGCACTACAGGAGTTGTAGAATCCAAAAATATAAACCATTGTTGTGTATGATGCAAAACAAAAAAGTTTGAAATTTTCAAACACAAAATTTGGAACACTCACCAAGAAAGGCCATACTATGGCCTTGTATATGGCCTTATGGGCATGTAATATTTACTTAAATAGTATGCATTACTCATTTATAGCATTCAAATACACATTATCAAGGAAAAAAGGCAGAAAAAAGGAGGGAAATGTGGGTACCAGTGAGGTGTATATGCATAAAAATTTCAATTTTGATGTATAAATTCCACAAGATTCAAAGAATTTCACATTTGAAACAAAAACAGATCAAATATATGCAAAAAAATGGAAAAAAGTGGCCACTTTGAAGAAAAGAATCCAAAATTTGCATTTTCAAAAATTTGGAACACCCCAACAGGGGTAGTTGAGAAGAGGTGATTGGCACTGTAGTTCTCTTAAACCTCCAACTTTTTATACAATAATAATATGTACTATGTACATCATCTTTCTATATTTTTGACATGCCACCACAAGAAATACAAGCAATTCAGAGCTGCAAGGATGGTCTAAGCCAACAAAATATCATGGTCTGCTATGGACTGGATTCTTAATGTCAAACATACGGACGGACCAATCTCGAAGGTGCCAAGCTAAATGTACCTACTGCCAAAGGGTGTTCAACCAAGCGAAGCCTGCCCAGCTTTTCTCTCATATCAAGGAATCTTCATTCACTTGTAAATAGCCTAACAACAATCCAAATACAACGGAATACAACGTATATATTCTTTTCATTGAAAAAAAAACCTCGCCTAGGCTCGCCGCTACTGCGCCTGCCAAAGGCGCGCACTTGGTGGTAGGTTTGTAGGCGCCCACTGGCGCGCACATTTTCAAATGTGGCGCCGTCAACCCTACCTCCTGGGGTAGACTAACTCATCGGACAAACTTTTTTATGTCAAAAACCTTATTTATATAATCTGCATAATTAACCAACAAAAAAAAATGAACCATATCACCCGACATAATCTCAAAACTACAGCCTCTGGTTGAAAATCCGCAAAGATCCGAAAGCCATCGTTTTCTCACAAACATTAATCCTCTCGACACCAAACACTCTATTGAGGAGGAAATCAATCGCTCATTCTCCGTCAAGACAAATACACAAAAGGAATCGTCTTGTTCGAAAGGTCCGGGCCAAGACAAACTAAAGGAAACCAGTTGTTCAAAACTTCTCCATCGGCTTGTTCAAAACAGAATCGACATTGGACCCAACTTGCTCAAATCGGAACAAGCTCGTTCAAATCTGAAACGACTTATTCAACTTAGAACTAGCTCGTTCAAATTGGAGCCGGCTCGGAACCGACTCGTTCAAATCAGAACCGGCTTGTTGGAAATGGAACCGGCTCAGAACCGACTCGTTCGAATCGGAACCGACTCGTTGGAAACAGAGCCAGCTCAAACGAGATCAACTTGTTGGAAGCCTCAGTCAAGACGCAGGATAGACACCGGCTTGTTGGAGAGGTCTCAGACGAGACATCCGTCAAACACCGCTCCTGTTGACCATTCACTCTGATCCTCATTTTCTTTGTCATATCACCTCATTTCCTTCAAGAGTGAATATCACTATCAACAATTTGACAGGATTAAATCTAGGTGGTTCATCAAGAGGTGTGTATTCCTTTAGTCTTGTCTTTTTCTTTCTCTTGTTGACCACATTAATATAACCTTTTTGGTTTTGTTTTTTATTCAAAGTCTAGTGTCCTAGCTCTAGTGGTGGATTATTACACTTTCTCTCAAGTTAACTTAGCTTTTCATCCACAACATTGTTCCTGATTTCATCAGGTATTTTAATCTATTTATTTATTGCATTTTAATTTTTATTGATGCAGAAATGTGGCAGTGCCGGACCCCGGTAGATGCTGTCTCGCTTTGATTTCTCTAGTCGCAAACGGAAGGTTCTGGATCCATTTTTCTGCTTTTTATCAACGATGAATTATATTGAGGATAGTCAAGAGTTGCCTTCTCTAGTATCCGACTTGAGTTATCCGGCTCTGACCAACGATTTCATTTGTCTTCTCAACACTCGAGCTGCATGTTATACAGTGTTATGCCAGTTATGATTTCACTTGGCTTATTATGTAATTAAAAACACATTGTTGAAAAAAAATACAAAAAGCGGGGCAATCTAACTTAGAATTGGTAACTTGAGTCAAAAAGTGATTGTATTCAAGTGCCATCAAAAGGATAGTGACATAGGATTAAAAAAAACTGAAGACATCAAAAGAAAAGCACGAAGCAGGCCTTCATGGCCTGGGAAGGAAATGCTGTGGATGCTGATGTGAGGACAGCAAGAATAGGATAAAGACAGAAATCAACGTTTTCAGCCCAATTTTGAAAACTCAGCACGCGGGGATTGGCACATTTGTCATAGGCCTCCACTGGCGTGGACAGCTCCGCTGCTCGCTCCCGCTCCCGCTGTGGAGGCCTAGTTAGGCTCGATTATAGCAGCACAAGCCCAATTTAGCAGCGCCACCGCGGCTGCTAAACACTGAAAATCTTTGGTACCTTGCCTCTCGGCTGCTATCGCGATACCAAATCTAGAATCAGGATAGCAGCCCAACCTGACCCAACCTCCACAGGTATCACAAGAATTTCCTGTGATTCTCTCATCCACCACCTCCCCCATATCCCCCGATATCCAAAGCCTATGGATATCCCTCCATCCAACCTCCAGCACAAAAGCCCAGAAACCGAACCCGCCATCAATCAACCTCAACCAAATGGCCCCAGCCAATGTCCCACTCGATCCGCTTCTCCAAGACCTCGGAACCCAGCAAGCCGAAAGCCAACCAAGCCAACCGAGCCAAACTACCGTAGGAGCGAGTCAAACCGAAGTAGAAGAGGTCGGAACTAAGAGATCGGCTAGCTATTCTGAGAATGAGGACGTCCAGCTATGTCGATCGTGGATTGTGATATCGGAGGATCCTTTGGTCGGTACTCATCAGGACGGCACGACCTTTTGGAAACGAGTCCACCATTCCTACTCCAAAAATCTCCCGGAATCTCGTCGAACTGCGGGAAGTTTGAAGGCTCACTGGGTTGCGTTGCAGAAGCCCATCAGCAAGTTCCGAGGCTTCGTTAACCAAGTGAGCAGTTTGGCGAAAGTGGTGCCTCGGCTGAAGATTGCCTCAACCGCGCTCTTGAGCTCTTCTCCCAAGACCAGAAGGCCTCGTTCAAGTACCTCCGCGTTTACAACATACTCGTCAAGGTCCCCAAATGGAACTCCTATACGGACGAAAACACCAAAAAAAACCAACTACCGGTTCAGAAAAAACGAGCTAGAAGCCCTAGTAGCGACGCGCCAGCCTCCACTGCTTTGACGTCCGAGCCCGTTTCTGATGCGGAAGCCAACTCAACCGATGCGTCTTCTGTTCAACGTCCAATGGGTAAGAAGAAGGCCAAACTAATCCACGAACTCGCAAACAAGGAAGACAACTGGAAATGTATCATTGCGCGCGCTCACGAGTCCGTGGCGAATGAATCAAAGCGCCAGAACGACATCTTCGATAAGGAAGCTTGGTCCTTGAATGAGATGGCTCAGACCAGCAAAACTAACACCCAGGTATCGATCATGGACAAGGATCTGTCCAATCTTGATGACGACTCCAAGGAGTATTTTAGATTAAAAAAAAGGGAAATATTAGCCTCTCTTCGCTCAAACACATCTTCTTCATCTTAGGGCATGTTTTTCATCTCTACCAAACTCCTCACCAAACTCCTCATGTTATGTAGTTGCCTGATTGATCAACTGAACTCCTCATCTTACTTGACTGTGAACTCCTCATCTTACTTGACCGACTGTGAACTCCTCATCTTACTTGACCGACTATGAACTGCTCATCTTACTTGACCAACTGTGAACTCCTCATCTTACTTGACTGACTGTGAACACCTCATCTTGCTTGACCGTACTTGATCATCCATCACTTGTTATGTCTGCCTAGCATTTCTACATAGTTTGTTGGACAAGAAAACCAATCAAAATCACATGTTTTTTTTTCTTGGATTTCATTGCATAACAATTCAATTGATTGTTGAGCATATCTGATTACAACCAAAGATGAGAAACAAAGGGAGAGAGAAGAATCAAGAGAAAGAAGAAGCGAGCGAGAGAAATAAGAAGCAAGAGAGAGAAAGAAGAAGCAAGCGAGAGAAATAAGAAGCGAGAGAGAGAAAGATGAGAGAGAATAAAAAGCAAGAGATCGATAGAAGAAGCAATAGGGAGGAAGAAGAAGCAATAGAGAAGAGAAAAAATGAGCGAGAGAGATTCAAAACACAAGCGAAAAGAAACAAGAAGCTTTTATTCCAATTCATCGGCTTGTCGTCCTTTGACATCCCACTGATGTCGGATGAGATCATGTCGCAACCGGTAGTGAATTTCGATGTCTTTCATTGAGTGGTAGTTGTCAATGAACTCGGAGAACGATATTTGTGTCCCTCGTGTTACTTCAACCGGAGTAATAACTTCGGCCGGGTTCTGATCGTACACATATTCTAAGTAAGAGTCTCGCTCATCCTCCACAATCATGTTGTGGAGGATGATGCATGATTTCATGATGTTGGTAAGGTTTTGATGTTTCCATCCGCGTGCAGGTCGAGAGACGATCACAAAGCGTGCCTGAAGAACGCCAAAGGCCCGCTTGACATCTTTCCGACGACCTTCCTGCATCTTGACAAAATGTTTTTGCTCAAGTCCTTCCGGCTCCGAGAGTGTTTTGACGAAAACGGCCCAATCCGGGTAAATCCCGTTGGCAAGGTAGTAACCTTGCTTGTAATCATGGCCGTTGATGCTGTATTCACATTTCGGGGCTTGTCCGTTCAAGAGATTTTTGAAGAGGGGTGATTGGTCCAGGACGTTTATGTCGTTATGAGACCCTGGCAGCCCAAAGTAGGCCTGCCAGATCCAAAGATCCTGAGAGGCGACGGCCTCAAGTATAACGGTTGGGGTCTATAATAAATCAAACCAGTCACAGGTCAGTCAGAACAAATAAACAGCATAGTATTTCTTTGATAAAACTCACCTTTTCCTTTCCTTGAAATTGCCCAGCCCACGCCGAGGGGCAATTTTTCCACTCCCAATGCATGCAGTCCACAGACCCAAGCATGCCAGGGAAACCTCTTTGAGCTCCAATCTCCAGTAATCTGTCCAGGTCTTCGGCAGTCGGCTCGCGGAGATATTCGCCACCGTAGATGCTGACAATTGCGTCACAAAACCAATCCATACATTGGAGCGAGGTGGTTTCCGAGAGTTGCAGATACTCGTCGTTACAATCACCAGCACCCCCATAAGCAAGCATGCGCAGTGCCGCCGTGACCTTAACAAGGGGATGGAGACCCATTCTTCCTAAGGCATCTGGTTTCTGAATGAAGTAATCGTCGAAGCTTCGAACAGAGTCGGTTATCTTTAAGAATAATTCTTTCGACATTCGAAATCGGCGTCTGAATTACCTAGAATCGTAGAGAGGTGAATCGGAAAAATAGTGTTGGTAGAGCTGTTGATAGGCAGCTTCAAAGTTTCGAGGTATGTTCGGCTTCTTTCCTGGCTTTGATCCACCGTGCTTGCCAAAGAGGTCATCGTAACGGGTATCGTTGTCCAACATCAGTATTGCAGATTCAAGGAGCATTGTTCTTCTGGTATTTGCGCTGGAGGCTAGCTGCTGCCGTCGGATTATGATTTGGGTGAATTCTTCTTGCGTCAAGACATCCACAGGCGTATTGTTGTCTTTGGACTCGTCCATGGCGGTAGTGTGTTGTGTTCTTCGGGGAGCGGGGGAGAGAGTTTCACAGTGAAGAGCTGCCATATTTGGCAGCGTGCGGTGTCGAAATTCCAAGGCTTGGGGTGCTAAAAATGCGCCGCAGTCGCCGAATTCCGAGATTTGGCAGCGCAGATAGCATTTTGCGGTGGAGATGGTCTTAGATTCGAAGTTTCAGACTCTCATCATCCACTAAAATGCGGCCGTTTGATCTGGATTACCGGTATCAAGGAATCCAGTTATAATCATAACCATCCAACCTTCAACCTCGAGGCGCAGTCTCAGGAGCTGGTCGAGGTGATCAAACCGCATCCCCCAAAAAATTGCACAATCGCTTATTGTCTTGGTCATGGAACGTTGGAACCAATGAGCCCAGATGGCCCGAATGAACCGCACACCCAGCCCGCACTTATGATGTGATGAGGCGAATGGGGCAATCGGGTATCTTGGAGTGCAGCGTCCCAAACACAGCTTTTTTTTTGCCCCCCCATTTCCTTTCGAGAACTGATCGCCGCAAGGGCAAGTGGCCTTGCAGATGAAGAGAGGCGGCGACGGGGTCGTCCTGTCAAGTCTGCACCTCTTCACTATACATACTTCTGGCGGTGGGACGCTTGGACGATGGCTTTGCAGACTGCACGGGGTCGTCCGCTCCATTGCAAGATCAAGGAGATTGTCTTGCAGGATCCTGTGCGGAAACGGATATAAATATGTAGTTGATCGGCCGGCCCAGATTATTGCAGTGTTCTCCTCTTCCACCAGCTCGTCCATATATATATCAGAGCAGCTGCAGGTCCTCGAAACTCTCTGCGCAGCGAAACATCGTGAGGACAATATATACTGAGCTTCTCATTGTCGGAGGGCCCCTTGCTCATCTGCTGGGCTTTCATATGGTGTCCCCTTTTTGCACTCCTCTTTGATAATCGGGGCCATTTTTAGTCTTCATCCAATGGGTCAAACCGGCACTTTCTTCACCCCCCCCCCCCCCCCCAAAAAAAAAAAAAAAACACAGAAGAAAAAAAATACATCCTCATGCAGTCATCACGAAAAAACAAATAAAGTCTGACATTCTCCGGTTTTTCTCGTGCATGCCGGGATGGATGCTTGGGGCTTCTATCTATTATCATGTCTGAGTTAGGCGTGCGGGATGTGCATGGATACGTAGGTGAAGGAAAAAAACAGGCATTCTCGGCACGATGAATTGTAGCTATATGTTATGCACTGGTCAGAAGTGCAAGCCCAAGATGCTATCGAATTGCCAAACTTGTGTGTGTCCATGACCACTTTCCTAGCCTGCGCCACCACCTTTGTTTAAAAAACAAGCACAGCTCTAAATAGAAGGGACGCCGATCAAGGTGGCTGGGGGGTGGGGGGGGACGTTTGTTGCGCCGTTCCTGGATCACAGGCTGCTTCATGGAAGAAGAGAGACTGCTTGCTTGAACACCTCCACTCGTCTCTCTGCTTTCATTATTGAATTCTTTTATGGCTTCACACTTCCAACCGCCTCCCTACCCCCCCCCCCTCTCTCTCCCTTACCCTTTGTTTTTTTCTTGAACTTGCTCGATGAAATCAATTATTCGCCTCGATATTGTCCAAGGTCCTGTTGATCTGAAGAACAACTGGGCCTCCCCGCATTCTCTTTCCCTTCCCCCCATCAAAAAAAAAACTCTTACCTCTCCTTTTTTTCACACTTTGTTTTTTTAGTATTTTTTTCGTTGCCACTGTGAAGGATTGAGTTGGCCGCCTTCCTAAAATAAATACGCATATACATACAACGTCCACTCGTCTTTTATAGACTTCGCCCACATCCATCCATCCATCCGAAAAAAAAAAAAAAGGAGAAATTTCTAGTTACCTTTTTGTCCCGTTTTTCCTCTCGAAGTAGCCAAGATTGAGATAGAATATTTATCGAGCCGAAGATGAAGATGGAATCAGTCAAACTAATAGTGCTTCTGAGCGGATATGTATTCACGCATTCACACACGGACGAGCAAGTAGTAGTACAACACGACCAACCGTTGGCACAGGTGGACCGTCCGAAGTCGAGGGGCCAATTACCGACCCGGGTAGCGAGCACGACCCGCACGGCCGATGGTCGGCTAGTGGTACTGGGGGAGGAGCCTGCTCCTCCTGCGCGTCAGCCGGTCCCCTCAGGCTCCTTCACGACCGTCCGCGACCTCAACAAAGCGCTCGGCCATGTCTCCCGACTGGCCAATAGGTGTCCGCCCCCCACCTCCGCTTGCCCTATCTTCTCCAGCTCTCTGGCCAAGAAGCTACTCGCTAGGACGACACATTCCCTTCACAACCTCTCAATCGGCTTGCCTTGGGAATGCGTCAACCTTCAAGAAGAATTGACTGCTTGTGGCACTTGCACTAATAACGTAAGACTTTTTTTTGTTTTGGATTTCCTCTTATACCCTATTCCTGGGACCCCTGTCGAAGGTCTCTCTCTCTCTCTTGTGTTTTGATAAAGAACGCCAAGCTGATCATCAGTATCGATGTTTTTTATTTTGGTTGGGTTTTCTGCGTGCAGTGTATGAAAATCAAGCATGCCAAGGAAGTTGGATGTGAGCAGGGACGCTGCAAGATATGTGAGTCGTGTCTCAAGCAGACCATCATGTGCGACCGGCCACCTCAACACTCCACTTCTGTTCTGTGTTTGTTGTTGTTGTTGTTGATCGACTGGATGATATGATTCGTGACACAGTTACGTGTCGGGCGGGATACAGCTTAGTCAAACGAAGCTCGAAAGGCGGACATACTACATATTAATCCTATCGAACGATGCGTCGTGCTCAAACAAGGGCGGGCGTGATATGGAGGCCCGGCTCGATATGTAGCCTCTTTATCATCCGATCTCGCCACCTTTCTTTCTCTCTGGCTCTCTCCCTCTTTCTCTTCTTCCTCTCTCGCTGTCCGAACCAGTAAACTTAACACCGCCACATCCGGCACTCGACATATTTAAATACTTTCGCTTACATCTCCTAGAGGCCGTCGCATAGATTATAACGAACTCAGCTCGTTCACGTTCCCTTCGAATAACACACCCTACACTTTCATTTCCATTTCCATTTCCATTTCATTTTTGTTTATCAACACATCGTTTTTCAGCTGGTTATAACTTATATATGTAAGCTTGGACAGACACTTTGTAACTTAATGGATGATGTATCTTTTGTGATCTCCTCTTCTTCTGGACTCGATTGCTATGTAACACGGTGACCGAAACGGAAGGTTATCTCATAATAAAGAACATGACTACAATGATTATTTTTGAGGTACATCCATAGAATATAAACATTTTGATCGACAAGCCACTCCGAAAGTGGAAAGGCCTCCAAACACTACATTGATTGTGTGATTCTTGATGACTGTGGTCAGGCGGGTGATTTTTTGGCTTTGCTTTGTTGTTGTTGTTGTTTTTGTTAGATCATATCCAACAACTTAATCATCCTGATCTGTTCACTGAAAAAAAGACCATGGGAAAAAACCCCACAGGGTATTCTTTGCAGGAACCAATTAACATGATTAATTCGCAGAGTATTCATTTCCCTCTCTCTTTTCATCCAACCACAGAATAAACAAAATAAATAATACATAATACATGCGATTCGAAGTGCAACGAAGAAAGAAAAAGGGCGGGAGAAAATGGATGGGTTTACAAATGAAGGATATAGTATAAGTTCTATCAGACAAAGAAAAAAAACCAACTATTAGTTAGCCTGAGTCCAGCTTGATTGACACACCAAACGGACCATAGACAACTACAAAAAAAAAAAGAGTCCAAT